GGTCCTGGGTTCGAATCCCGGTCGGACCAGGGCCTTTCTGAGTGGAGTTTGCATGTTCTCCCCGTGTCTGCGTAGGTTTCCTCCGGGTACTCCGGTTTCCCCTACCACTAAAAATATGTCCAATAGTTCTAGCATGCGCCTCCTGTACTGGCGACCCCGCTCCCATCTCTGTGTGGAGTGAGAGACAAATGCCCAAAAATTAACAATTGTAAACCGCTTTGAGACTCAGATCTGCAGTGAAAAGGCGGTATATAAATAAATACTTACTTACTTACTTACTTACTCTCTGGTCTCTCTCTGGTCTCTGTCTGGTCCCTCTCTGGTCTCTCTCTGGTCTCTCTCTGGCCTCTCTCTCTCTGGTCTCTGTCTGGTCTCTCTCTGGTCTCTGTCTGGTCTCTCTCTGGTCTTTCTCTGGTCTCTCTCTGGTCTCTCTCTGGCCTCTCTCTGGTCTCTCTCTCTGGTCTCTCTCTGGTCTCTCTCTCTGGTCTCTCTCTCTGGCCTCTCTCTGGTCTCTCTCTCTGGTCTCTCTCTGGGGTCTCTCTGGTCTCTCTCTCTGGTCTCTCTCTAGTCTCTCTCTCTGGCCTCTCTCTGGTCTCTCTCTGGTCTCTCTCTCTGGTCTCTCTCTGGTCTCTCTCTGGTCTCTCTCTGGTCTCTCTCTCTGGTCTCTCTCTGGTCTCTCTCTGGTCTCTGTCTGGCGTCTCTCTGGCCTCATTCATTCATTTTCATTTCAGAATTTGAGTCAGAGTGTGAAGCCGATTGGTTTTCTCTCATTCTTTGTTTTCCCAGTTTCCTCAGTCCTTCTCTCTCCTTCACACACATCGCTCACGTCCAAGTTCTGATGAGGCAGAGTGTTTTTCACAACTTAGCGTTAGCCTTTTGACAAACAGAAAACAGTGATGTGGTGTTTACACAAAGACACTGCGACAGTAAAACAATAGAGTTTATCTCGGTTTAGACTTTTGTTTACATGGAGACAATGATTCAGGTGAAAACACACATTTGGACATGTGCAGAAGCCCAGAACAAACATATACAACAATGGCAGAAGGCTAGTCCCTGTGCTCCTCAGAGTCCCAGCAGGAGGCCAGTCCCTGTGCTCCTCAGAGTCCCAGCAGGAGGCCAGTCCCTGTGCTCCTCAGAGTCCACGCAGGAGGCCAGTCCCTGTGCTCCTTAGAGTCCCAGCAGGCCAGTCCCTGTGCTCCTCAGAGTCCCAGCAGGAGGCCAGTCCCTGTGCTCCTCAGAGTCACAGCAGGAGGCCGGTCCCTGTGCTCCTTAGAGTCCCAGCAGGAGGCCAGTCCCTGTGCTCCTCAGAGTCCCAGCGGGAGGCCAGACCCTGTGCTCCTCAGAGTCCCAGCGGGAGGCCAGTCCCTGTGCTCCTCAGAGTCCCAGCAGGAGGCCAGTCCCTGTGCTCCTCAGAGTCACAGCAGGAGGCCGGTCCCTGTGCTCCTCAGAGTCCCAGCAGGAGGCCAGTCCCAGATCTCCCAGTCTCTATAGTGGGGCGGGTGCGGCTATAAAGTGCTAAACTGTGGTCGTGTCCTTGGGCAAGACACTTCCCCCATATTAGAATGAGTCTGGTGTGTGTGTGAATGGTTGGTGGTGGTCGGAGGGGCTAATGGCACAGACTGGTTGCCTCCCTGTGCCCCAAGGCAGCTGTGGCTACTGTAGTAATTTATCACCACTGTCTATGAAGTGAAAGAATATTGACAAGTGAAGAGACTTTGAGTGTCCTGAAATTATTGTTATTATTATTATTATTATTATTATCATTATTATTATTATTATTGATATGAAATCCATAGACAAACGTACATTTCCACCTTGGTGTATTGTTTGTATTGTGTCTAATGTGTGTATCCTCTGTCCTGTTGATCCAGTCAGACATATAGTGCCCTACAGCCGTCACCTGGTCCTGTGTCCTGGTGTAGGATTACTATGTGCAAAAGACTGATGTTTGTTCTCTATTTTTTTGCTCAAATGAGGAGAGAGAGAGAGAGAGAGAGAGAGAGAGAGAGAACTTTATTATAGACTCATGGTCCCAATCAACACAGACAAAAAGCAGACAATAAGAACCTCTAAACTTAATACTGTTTATAGAACTGGGATATTCAGCAAAGGAGGATCAGCCCAGACAGCTCTATGTGACAAAGATTTAAAACGTGTTACATTTTTAACCAGGGCTCTCTCTGGTCTCTCTCTCTGGTCTCTCTCTGGTCTCTCTCTGGTCTTTCTCTCTCTGGTCTCTCTCTGGTCTCTCTCTCTGGTCTCTCTCTGGTCTCTCTGCTCTCTCTCTCTGGTTTCTTTCTGGTCTCTCTCTCTAGTCCCTCGGTGGTGTCTCTCTGGTCTCTCTCTGGTCTCTCTCTGCTCTCTCTGGTTTCTTTCTGGTCTCTCTCTGGTGCCTCTCTGTTCTAGTCCTGCATACAGTGCCTTGCAAAAGTATTCGGCCCCCTTGAACCTTTCAACATTTCGCCACATTTCAGGCTTCAAACATAAAGACATAACATTTTAATTTTTTGTCATGAATCAACAACAAGTGGGACACAATCGTGAGGTGGAACAAAATTTATTAGATAATTTAAACTTTTTTAACAAATAAAAAACTGAAAAGTGGGGCGTGCGATATTATTCGGCCCCTTTACTTTCAGTGCAGCAAACTCAGTCCAGAAGTTCAGTGAGGATCTTTGAATGATCCAATGTTGTCCTAAATGACTGATGATGATAAATAGAATGCACCTGTGTGTAATCAAGTCTCCGTATAAATGCACCTGCTCTTTGATAGTCTCAGGGTTCTGTTTAAAGCGCAGAGAGAACCATGAAGACAAAGGAACACACCAGGCAGGTCCGAGATACTGTTGTGGAGAAGTTTAAAGCCGGATTTGGATACAAAAAGATTTCCCAAGCTTTAAACATCTCAATGAGCACTGTGCAAGCAATTATATTGAAATGGAAGGAGTATCAGACCACTGCAAATCTACCAAGACCCGGCCGTCCCTCCAAACTTTCATCTCAAACAAGGAGAAGACTGATCAGAGATGCAGCCAAGAGGCCCATGATCACTCTGGATGAACTGCAGATAACTACAGCTGAGGTGGGAGAGTCTGTCCATAGGACAACAATCAGTCGTGCACTGCACAAATCTGGCCTTTATGGAAGAGTGGCAAGAAGAAAGCCATTTCTCAAAGATATCTATAAAAAGTCTCGTTTAAAGTTTGCCACAAGCCACCTGGGAGACACACCAAACATGTGGAAGAAGGTGCTCTGGTCAGATGAAACCAAAATCGAACTTTTTGGCCACAATGCAAAACGATATGTTTGGCGTAAAAGCAACACAGCTCATCACCCTGAACACACCATCCCCACTGTCAAACATGGTGGTGGCAGCATCATGCTTTGGGCCTGCTTTTCTTCAGCAGGGACAGGGAAGATGGCTAAAATTGATGGGAAGATGGATGGAGCCAAATACAGGACCATTCTGGAAGAAAACCTGTTGGAGTCTGCAAAAGACCTGAGACTGGGACGGAGATTTATCTTCCAACAGGACAATGATCCAAAACATAAAGCCAAATCTACAATGGAATGGTTCACAAATAGACGTATCCAGGTGTTAGAATGGCCAAGTCAAAGTCCAGACCTGAATCCAATCGAGAATCTGTGGAAAGAGCTGAAGACTGCTGTTCACAAACGCTCTCCATCCAACCTCACTGAGCTCGAGCTGTTTTGCAAGGAAGAATGGGCAAAAATTCCAGTCTCTCGATGTGCAAATCTGATAGAGACATACCCCAAGCGACTTGCAGCTGTAATTGCAGCAAAAGGTGGCGCTACAAAGTATTAGCGCAACGGGCCGAATAATATTGCACGCCCCACTTTTCAGTTTGTTAAAAAAGTTGAAATTATCCAATACTTTCGCAAGGCACTGTATACTGCATACTTCATACCTTTCTCTCGTCCTTAGCTTAACTCTGTGACTTCCGACACATTTTCTCAGGCCGCGCTGCTGCTTTCGGCATAAACAACGTCTTTAGTTATGTTTCTGGTTAAACTCACAGACGAGGCCTTTGTTTTTCATTTGACCATTATCCTCAGCTAATTTACTGATGTGTTGCTGACCTGAAAAGCAGTGGATTGTGGGTAATTCCGAGCCAGTGAAATATACATGACATATTGTGTACATGACATACTTAGTCCTGGTTTAGTCCTGGTTTAGTCCTGGTTCAGCTCTGGTTTAGCCCTGGTTTTGTCCTGGTTCAGCCCTGGTTTAGGCCCCGCTCCCATCTCTGTGTGGAGTGAGAGACAAGTGCCCAAAAAGCCCTGTGAAAAGCGGCATATAAATAAAGATTACTAACTTACTTAGTCCTGGTTTAGTCCTGGTTTAGGCCCTGTTTTAGTCCTGGTTCAGCCCTGGTTTAGCCCTGGTTTACCCCTGGTTTAGGCCCTGTTTTAGTCCTGGTTCAGCCCTGGTTTACCCCTGGTTTAGGCCCTGTTTGTCGCATGGCGCCGTAAAGATGGCGCCGTGGCAAGAGCTCTGGTGTGTGTCGTCTGGTGCACACTGGGGTAGTCCTGCACAGTTTTTCCTGTGTGGTTTTACTGCAAATGGCAAATAAATGAATCTGAATCTGATCTGATCTGTTTTAGTCCTGGTAAGTGGTATTTATTGAACAATTCATACTTTTTCTGTTAAACTAGTCCATAATCAATATCTACGTTATTTGCCACATCAAAACAATTTTCTATTTCTATCTTTCCAACACCGTCCAGGGCCATGACGTTGTTACAGACTCTCAAAAACAGTCTATTTTGGTCTGAAAATTCAAAAGCTGCAAAAACAATGAGCCGTGCTGCATCCAAGCGTCGCTGAGTTTGATTGATGCTAATTTTAACACAAAAGCGTCGTGTGTGTGACGCGTCTGTGGAGACATCTTTCATCTGTCTCTGATCCCTGGGATCACCTTTTTACTCTTTTGTCTCTTCTTTATCAGAGAAACTTCTCCTCCTACAGTATGTGCATGTGTCTGGTAATGCTATGTTTGCAACACATTGGGCTGGCTGAACTGTGACTGAACCAGGACTTTACACCAGGACCGCCAGAATTATGGAACTTCTCGAACGTCCAGAGCCGTCATTTTGACTGCTCCCATACAAATCAATGGAATTCTGAAAACCAGGACCAGCACTTTGAACAAGGGCTTATTATGGCTACATGTACTGTCGGCCATGTTGGTGGTGTTGTACGCTGCTGGAGCTGGTCACGCTCTCTAATGTCACATTAGAGTCTTTCAAGCGTCATTTAAGTTCTTTGAAGCAATCCCATATAATTGTGCTGTGTTTCATTGTGCTAACAGCAAGCGTGAGGCAAGGCAAGGCAGGCAAGGCAAGGCAAGGCAAGTTTATTTGTATAGCACAATTCATACACAAGGCAACTCAAAGTGCTGAACAAGATAGCATTAAAATCATAAATAATCACAGAACATTAAAAAGAAAGATAAAAACATAAAATCCCTCAGTTGTATGCACAGCTAAACAGCACCGTTTTTAACCTGGTTTTAAACATTGTCAGAGAGGAGGCCTGTCTCACATCTTCAGGAAGATTGTTCCAGATTTTAGCAGCATGAATCTGAAAAGCAGCCTCCCCATGTTTAGTTCTGACTCTGGGCACTAACAGGAGTCCAGTCCCTGTGCTCCTCAGAGTCCGGGCTGGTTCATATGGGACTAACATGTCACTAATATATTTTGGTGCGAGGCCATGGAGAGACTTGTAACAAGCAGAGCTGTTTTAAAGTCTATTCTCTGAGCCACAGGAAGCCAGTGCAGAGACCTGAGGACTGGACTAATGTGACAAGGAGAAATGTAGTTTTTTTTGTTTCTGGACTTGTTTGGTTTATGTTTCATTTTTGCAGATTGGAAATCCATCCACAGGTAACTGAACCCTCCTTACTGCAAACAACAGTGCTCCTACAAACAGGCTTCATGAAGGCCAGCCAAGCAGCTGCAGTGCGCCAACATAACATTTCCGTCATTCTCAGCCACAAACCAAGTTCTCAAGGGTGTTTCTAAAAACCTGGGAATGGTTGGTTTAAAAAGCATTTTTAGATACAATATATAAAAGACACGCCGCGCGTGACGTTATAACCATTAAACTACAAAGCTGAACTAAAAAAATACTGATAAATTATCTTTAATCCTTACCCAAGCAAAACAACTGACTTGTCAACACAAACTTGCTTTGTCCGAAGCTTGTTCACCCAGCCTGACTCGGAAAAGTTGTATGCTTCCATTGATTTGTCAAATCAGTAAATCACCAACGCTGATTACATCATCAGTTTTGGTCACGTGGTTGAAAGTCATCTATAGGCCTTGCGCGCGCCTCTGTACTGCGGACCCCAGGAAATATGTATAACAAAATTAAAAAATGCAATAAAATCAACCAACAAGTGTAAAGCGCTTTGGGACTCTGGTCTGTGAAAGGCGCCATCTAAATAAATATTACTTTTACTTTAATATTATTTTCACAGTTTTAGTCATAGTTTGGCCGGGGGTCCGACTTATGTGTGAAATTTTATAATTGAAATGTTATGTTTAGTTTACCGTAAAGTATCGAATAATAGGCATCAACATGCTAACCACTATCAACATGCTAACCGCTATCAACATGCTAACCGCTACCAACATGCTAACCGCTACCAACATGCTAACCGCTACCAACATGCTAACCACTATCAAAATGCCAACCGCTACCAACATGCTAACCGCTACCAACATGCTAACTGCTACCAACATGCTAACCGCTACCAACATGCTAACCGCTACCAACATGCTAACCGCTACCAACATGCTAACTGCTACCAACATGCTAACCGCTACCAACATGCTAACCGCTACCAACATGCTAACCGCTACCAACAGCAAAATGCTTTCCAACATAAAAAGCACTATTAAAACACAGCCAATGGGGACTTTTTGACATTTTAGTTCCAGAAGTTGAGCAGACTCCCACATTACAGCCCCGTACAAACCTGGTTTAGTCCTGGTTCAGTCTTGGTTCAGTCCTGGTTCAGTCTTGGTTCAGTCTTGGTTCAGTCTCGGTTTAGTCTTGATTCAGTCCTGGTTTAGTCCTGGTTTAATCCTAACTCCGGCCAGGTCAAGTTTTGGTTCAGTCCTGGTTCAGTCCTGGTTCTTCCCTGGTCCAGCCCTGGTCCACTCCTGTTTTTTTTCCTGGTTCAGTCCTGGTTCAGTCCTGGTTCAGTCCTGGTTCAGTCCTGGTTCTTCCCTGGTTTTGACCTGGTTCAGCCCTGGTTCTTCCCTGGTTTAAGTCCTTGTTCAGTTCTGGTTTATTTCTAATTCAGGCCAGGTCAAGTTTTGGTTCAGCCTCAATTCAGTCCTGGTTGTTCCCTGGTCCAGCCCTGGCTCAGCCCTGGTCTAACCCTTGTTTCTCCCTGGTTTCGCCCTGGTCCAGTCTTGGTCTAACCCTGGTTTCTCCCTGGCTCATTCTCGGTCTCGCACTGGTCTAACCGTGTTGTGTGCTCCTCAGGGCTCAGCCTCGGTCTCGCCCTCGTCTAACTGTATTGTGTGCTCTTCAGGGCTCAGCCTCGGTCTCGCCCTGGTCTAACTGTGTTGTGTGCTCTTCAGGGCTCAGCCTCGGTCTCGCCCTGGTCTAACTGTATTGTGTGCTCCTCAGGGCTCAGCCTCGGTCTCGCCCTGGTCTAACTGTATTGTGTGCTCCTCAGGGCTCAGCGGACTCGTACACCAGCCGGCCCTCGGACTCAGACGTGTCCCTGGAGGAGGAGAAGGATGGCGGGAGGCAGGAGCAGGAGCAGCAGGCCTCAGTGCAGCTGGAGAGGGCCAAGGTCTGGGTCACACTGCATCAACATCACCATGAGATTAAATGAAATTATTTAAGATTATATGAGATTATATAAATGTATAAAAGATAATACACACATCAGTAGAGAGAGAGAGAAATCATGCTTAAAATAATATTATGTAAGATTTTCATGTCTCGTCATCATTATAGGGCCCTAACCTGTCAAACTGCATTAGTAAAACATACTTCTTTCCAATACTTCTTTAACTGATGACAGTATCCATCCATCCATCCATTTTCTTCCCCTTAATCCATTTCTGGGTCGGGGGTGGCAGTCAGAGCTGCACCCAGTTCACAGAGCACCAGCCCCTCACTGGTCCTCCTGCAGGTGCTGAGTCCACAGGAGCTGAGATCTTTCAGTGGGGGCTTTGGGCAAAGTGGGGTTAAGTGTCTTGCCCAAGGACACAACGACAGCAGTCATCAGTGGGAGTCGTGAAGTAGGTCTCATGGTGGGCTCGAACCCACGACCTTCAGGCCCAAAGGCTCTACTAACTGAGCTACTGTCGCCTTTTGGCCATATGTTTACATAGTTCCCCTTTAAATAAATTACAGTCAGCTGTGTTAGGTCTTGGTTCAACAGGTTATATACATCATTTTAATACGTAAACATTTAACTAGTCCGGCAAGTTAGTTTTTTTGGCCTCTGATGTATTTGACTTTGACATCCCTGATCTAGAATAATCCTCTCTTTTCTCTCGGTGAATCTACTGAGCTTAAAGGACAACTCACCCTCAAATCCACTTTTTTTTGCTGATAAACGGTATAAATGAGTGTCGAATAGTGTTGTCTACATATCCTGGTCATAATTTTGTCACTTTGGTGCAAATTAGTTGAAAGTTAAACTTTCTGCCTAAAACCGTCTGTGAGGCGCCATCTGCTGGCGACCTGTATTACTACATTTGAATTTTGAATCTGGCGCCAACACTGGCGCGGCAGCAAGACCTGACGTCTGAAGCAAGACCTGACGTCTGAAGCAAGACCTGACGTCTGAAGCAAGACCTGACGTCTGAAGCAAGACCTGACGTCTGAAGCAAGACTTGACGTCTGAAGCAAGACCTGACGTCTGAAGCAAGACCTGACGTCTGAAGCAAGACCTGACGTCAGCAGCCCCCCGCCCAGAGTAATGTAAACGGCCCTGTCTCGTTCACGCCCTCTTTAGTCCTCCAGGCTACGCCCATTTAGAGGAAGATTTGAACAGGAAATGTGAGTGACGTAAGCTCCGAGGAGCGGGGGTGAGAACCACTTTAACTCATGGCACAGAGACCCAATGGCTTCTGCTCGTTCTAGTCTTACAGCCTCCCTCCCTCTCTCCCGTGTCTCTGTGCAGCGGCAGATCCTGATTAACCCATCTCTATGTGCAGTTGTAAATAAACCCAGCCTCAGTTATCGTCCTGGCCTTTTGTGTTGGCAGGCGAAGGGCGTGGCGTTCGCGGTGCGCACCAACATGAGCTACTGCGGCGCCCTGGATGAGGACGTCCCCGTGGCTGGAACCGGGGTCTCCTTTGATGCCAAGGACTTCCTGCACATCAAAGAGGTGAATCATTTATAATATATACAGGAGAAAGACACAGCAGCACAAGCAGGAAGAGAAGGTTCTCTCTGGTCACAGTGAATAATGTTCTGTGGTGACTACACTGCAAAAAAAGATCAAATATCAGGTAATGCTTGAATTGAGTGTTTTTTAGCCTAATTTGAGTTCAGTGACTGTGGTAAAACAAGATTCATCAATGGGACAAAGCAAACCAAACAAAATCATTTTTATTTTTTCCCATTTGGATCTTGTGTTAAGGCAGTCAGAAAATTCACAAAGTTGAGCCATTTTTTACCTAATCTTCATCACTTTGTGTGTGTGTGTGTGTGTGTGTGTTTGTGTGTTAGTGTGATACAATATTGATCCCTCAGGTGAAAAATATATCAATTGTTTTTTTTCCGGACTACAAGCCATAAACAGTATCTGACTATAAGCCACACCTGATTATAAACAGTATCTGACTATAAGCCGCACCTGACTATAAGCCACACCTGACTACAAGCCGCACCCGACTATAAGCCACACCTGATTATAAACAGTATCTGACTATAAGCCGCACAGGACTATAAGCCGCACCGGACTATAAGCCGCACCTGACTATAGGCTGCACCTGACTATAGGCTGCACCTGACTATAGGCTGCACCTGACTATAAGCCGCACCTGACAATAAGCCGCACCTGACTATAAGCTGCACCTGACAATAAGCCGCACCCGACTATAAGCCACACCTGATAATAAGCCACACCTGACTATAAACCATACCTGACTATAAGCTGCACCTGATTATAAGCCGCACCTGATTATAAGCCAGATTCAGATTCAGTTTATTTGCCATTTGCAGTAAAAAAAAAAGCACATTGGAATACATTTGCAAAAAGTCTCCAGTGTGCACAGACAAATACAGACATAAAACAACATTAAAAGACAGAAATAAAACAGTAAACAAATGTCACTGTGAAATTGATCGACTAAAACAGTTTCAAAACAAGTGCAAATCATTAAAGTTCTCTGTTCAAACTGATAACAGCTGATAAAGCCGCACCTGACCAAGCCTGCTGCGTAATTTGCATATTGTCCCCTAGATCCAGGGGTGTCCCAATTCTTAGGGAGAATGTTGTGAGTGCCCTCCCCACTGGGAAGGCACTTTGCTGGTGAGGGCACTCACACCTGAGGGCAAGGGTGAGAATTGGGACGGGGCTTTAATCGTCAGTGTGAAGCAGAATGATAATGAGCCACATCTACTATCACTCATTTCACTTTAATGTTTATACAAAGAACCAAACCACTTTATATTATGAGATAGTTACACAAATATATAATAAATGAGAACTTTTAAACTTTATTTAAATATATCTAAACAAATATATTTTACAAATGTTTTAAACTTTAAAAATACCATCGAGTATGTTCTAGTGTTTTCCATGTAGACGATGCTGGGTACAAATGACTGATTGACAGATTTTACATTTAAAGTGGACCTCTGTGAACTACTCATCAATTATATCAGTCTACTGTTACTTGGCACAAAGTTATCGGCACCACAGTAAAAAATATTAATAATCAAGCCGCACCTGAATATAAGCCGCAGCAGACAAATTGTGGGAAAAAAAGATGCAGTTTATAGTCTGGATTTTACGGTAATTCTAAAAGTTTCTACCAATAACAGTTTAGGTCACGGTAGCAGAGGTGGAGTCTGGTCAGGGCCATTTTCTCTGCTCGGTTCAGACTGAAGAGAGACTTTTTTGACGACTTTTTTTGTTGGAACAAACTAAAAACGTATTTACGAAACAAAAACATTAAAGTCTGACAGTTTTTAACAAACAATATTTTGACATTGTGCAGAAGTACAACAACGACTGGTGGATCGGGCGTCTGGTGAAGGAGGGCTGCGAGATCGGCTTCATCCCGAGTCCCCTCAAACTGGAAAACATTCGTCTGCAGCAGGAGCAGAAGAGAGGCCGCTTTCATGGGTCAGAACCAGGACTGAGGCTGTAGACCCAGGACTGAGGCTGTAGATCCAGGGACTGAGGCTGTAGACCAGGACTGAGGCTGTAGATCCAGGACTGAGGCTGTAGATCCAGGGACTGAGGCTGTAGATCCAGGACTGAGGCTGTAGATCCAGGACTGAGGCTGTAGACCCAGGACTGAGGCTGTAGACCCAGGACTGAGGCTGTAGACCCAGAGACTGAGGCTGTAGATCCAGGGACTGAGGCTGTAGACCCAGACTGAGGATTGTTTACTTTAGGGATCTTAAGAACAATAAAAACACACATAGAACAAATATATAGAACAAAAAATAGAAAATAAATATAAACTTTGCTTCAGTTCGGGTCAATCATGGGTTGAACTAAAGTCAAATCAAATCCGGTCGAAAAACCAGGAAACGCCGTTGTCCGCAGACGCTGGTTCTGGACCGGAGCCAGTCCCACAGAGAGGACCATATGGCAATTAAACTGTTATTTTTGTCTCTTTTTGTTCTGGTTCTGGCTCAGTATTTTGATGATTATGGCACAGACCTCCAGCCAAATCCACCGGGCAGAGCTTCACTGTGGACTCCAGCGGCGATATTTATTTGTGGAAGTTTTTGCCGTTATTCTAGAACAGGATTCATCAAGACTACTCTAAATAAACTAGATCTGAGATTTGTTAATGATGGATAATACTGGATTCAAGGCAAGGGAAGGACTTTGACCAAAACAGATACAGAAACACTGAACTAAATGGGAACCCACGGTAATTAATGTGGGACTATTGTGATATGTTTTAATTAAAAATTGTAGTTTTTAAGGCAGTGGATCCATACTATCATGATTGTTTTCATATTTGCTTTTTCTGTTTTTAAAATGTTTAATACAAAATGATAATTAATAATAGAAAATAAAAAAAACTAGATTTCTTGCCAAAATCATGCAACCCCAAAAACTACTTATAGTTGTCGATATGCACGTTACACTGAGGCTGTAGATCCAGGACTGAGGCTGTAGACCCAGGACTGAGGCTGTAGACCCAGGACTGAGGCTGTAGACCCAGGACTGAAGCTGTAGACCCAGGACTGAAGCTGTAGACCTAGGACTGAAGCTGTAGACCCAGGACTGAAGCTGTAGACCTAGGACTGAGGCTGTAGACCCAGGACTGAGGCTGCAGATCCAGGACTCTGTGTTTCTTTTCTCAGGAGTAAATCCAGTGGGAACTCGTCCTCCAGTCTGGGGGAGATGGTGTCAGGGTCCTTCAAGCCAAATCCAAACTCTGCAGGTGAGTTCTACAAAAAACTATGTCTCTTCTTTAACACATAGAGCTTCCCTGTGCAATAATGATAACAATAATAATAATAATAATAATGATGATAATATTATTAGGATTAATAATAATAATATTAATAATAATATTATTAATAATATGGGAAACATGCTGTGGGAAACCACTTTACTTTAGTGACACTGAGCCTAGAGCCTCCTGGTGCTGACATTTACACACTGTCAAAAGGGATTATAAGTAAAGAATTGCTCAAATTTGGCAAAATGTGTCTTAAAACAAGATTTGCCAATGGGACAAAACCATATCGTTGAGAAAAGATACAAGAAATGTCTCCTTTGGAATGAGAAAATGAAGCAGACTAAATGGCTTTGTCCGGTTGGAGAATGTTGTTTTAACACAGTCTCAACAGAACTCAAATTAAGATAAAATACGCTCAATTCAAGAAATGTAGTAGTATCACATGATGCTAACATGTAGTAGTATATACTCTCTCTCTCTCTCTCTCTTATATATATAGTGCCTTGCGAAAGTTTTTGACCTTTCAACATTTCGCCACATTTCAGGCTTCAAACATAAAAATATAAAAATTAAATTTTTACGCTAATACTTTGTAGCGCCACCTTTTGCTGCAATTACAGCTGCAAGTCGCTTGGGGTATGTCTCTATCAGTTTTGCACATCGAGAGACTGGAATTCTTGCCCATTCTTCCTTGCAAAACAGCTGGAGCTCAGTGAGGTTGGATGGAGAGCGTTTGTGAACAGCAGTCTTCAGCTCTTTCCACAGATTCTCGATTGGATTCAGGTCTGGACTTTGACTTGGCCATTCTAACACCTGGATACGTCTATTTGTGAACCATTCCATTGTAGATTTGGCTTTATGTTTTGGATCATTGTCCTGTTGGAAGATAAATCTCCGTCCCAGTCTCAGGTCTTTTGCAGACTCCAACAGGTTTTCTTCCAAAATGGTCCTGTATTTGGCTCCATCCATCTTCCCATCAATTTTAGCCATCTTCCCTGTCCCTGCTGAAGAAAAGCAGGCCCAAAGCATGATGCTGCCACCACCATGTTTGACAGTGGGGATGGTGTGTTCAGGGTGATGAGCTGTGTTGCTTTTACGCCAAACATATCGTTTTGCATTGTGGCCAAAAAGTTCGATTTTGGTTTCATCTGACCAGAGCACCTTCTTCCACATGTTTGGTGTGTCTCCCAGGTGGCTTGTGGCAAACTTTAAACAAGACTTTTTATGGATATCTTTGAGAAATGGCTTTCTTCTTGCCACTCTTCCATAAAGGCCAGATTTGTGCAGTGCACGACTGATTGTTGTCCTATGGACAGACTCTCCCACCTCAGCTGTAGTTATCTGCAGTTCATCCAGAGTGATCATGGGCCTCTTGGCTGCATCTCTGATCAGTCTTCTCCTTGTTTGAGATGAAAGTTTGGAGGGACGGCCGGGTCTTGGTAGATTTGCAGTGGTCTGATACTCCTTCCATTTCAATATAATTGCTTGCACAGTGCTCCTTGAGATGTTTAAAGCTTGGGAAATCGTTTTGTATCCAAATCCGGCTTTAAACTTCTCCACAACAGTATCTCGGACCTGCCTGGTGTGTTCCTTTATCTTCATGGTTCTCTCTGCGCTTTAAATAGAACCCTGAGATTATCAAAGAGCAGGTGCATTTATACGGAGACTTGATTACACACAGGTGCATTCTATTTATCATCATCAGTCATTTAGGACAACATTGGATCATTCAAAGATCCTCACTGAACTTCTGGACTGAGTTTGCTGCACTGAAAGTAAAGGGGCCGAATAATATTGCACGCCCCACTTTTCAGTTTTTTATTTGTTAAGAAAGTTTAAATTATCCAAATACTTTCGCAAGGCACTGTATATAGCAGGGGTCTCAAACTCAACTTACCTAGGGGCCGCTGGAGGTAGAGTCTGGGTGAGGCTGGGCCGCATCACAAAAAAACGCTGCATCACAAAAAAAGATGTATTCCAGTATTCCAAAAAAAAGTTCCACTGATCCAATCTTCTCAATCTTAACAAGTCAGAACATGCAGAACTTGCAGAACACGAACAGTTCTTCAGAACATAGGCTTCATTCACTTCCTTCTACTCCTTGCTACCAGAGACTTGGCAGCGCTTCCTCTCACACAGCTGAGACACATTTGGCTTGAGGGAGGAGGCAACTGAGACTGTAGCTTTAAGGTTCTCATCTTTAAGTCTGGACCTGAACTTTGACTTGTTAAAGTTCATTGTGGAAAAGAGTTTTTCACACAGATAGGTGCTGCCAAAAAGGCACATGGTCCGCTTGAACATCCTGGAAAGCTCAGGAAAGGTGGGGGGGAGTTTTCTCAAAAATTGTTCAAGCTCCATTGTTTTTCCGCTCACCTCCCTGAATTTGGCTTTGAGTTCAGTATTACATTGCAGGTCAATTAGCTCCATCTGCAGGACAGGGGAGGCATCCTCCACATTAAAGGAGAAGGGGTCAGTAAACATTTGAAAAGTGGCTCTGTGTGTCTTGAAGTCTGCAAACCTGTGATCAAATTCTTCTTGTAGCTTTCCGATAGTATCAGCATACTTCTCACCACTGAATGTTGTGCCTGAATCCATGAGTTCCTTGCATGCTGGGAAATGGCAGAGGTTTGTCTGGGAAAGCTGGGCTTTCCATAACATAAGTTTTGTGGAAAATGCTCTGACACTGTCATATGCAACACTGACAAGCTGGCCCTGGCCTTGTAACTTCTTGTTCAGTACATTCAGCTCCTGTGTGATGTCAACAAGAAAAGCTAAGTCCATTAGCCATTTAGGATCACTTAGCACAGGAACAGCCATCCCATCCTTCTCCATGAAGGCTTTCACTTGTGCCCTCAACTCAAAAAACCTCTTCAAGACCTTCCCCCTGCTGAGCCAACGTACCTCGGTAAAGTAGAGCACGTCCTCATATTCTGACTCTATTTCAACCAAAAAGTCACGGAACTGCCGGTGCTTTAAAGCCCTGGATTTGATATGGTTGATGAATTTCACGACGTCAGACATCACATTGTCAAACTTTAAGATTTTGCTGCATAGGGCCTGCTGATGGATAATGCAGTGCAGAGCAATGGCATCTTCCACACCCTCCTCTTCCAGTTTTCTTCGAACATGTGCTACAAGTCCGTTTTTCCTCCCTGTCATTGATGGCGCCCCATCTGTAGTTATTCCAGCCAAACACTTCCATTGTAAGCCGGCATCCCCAATGCAATCACACAGCTGGCGGAATATCTCCTGACCGGTGGTCTGGCCATGCATTGCAATCACTGTGAGCAACTCCTCCGTAACTTCAAAATTGTTATCAACACCACGGACATATATTGCAAGCTGCGCCGTGTCAGTGACGTCTGTGCTCTCATCAAGAGCGAGTGAGTAAGAATGGAAATGTTTAGCTTTCTCACGCAGTTGATCATAAATGTTATCTGACATGTCAGAAATGCGCTCTGCCACTGTGTTGGCTGAAAAGCTGATGTTACTAAACTGAGCCTTTTTTTCCGGGCAGACTATACTGGCAGCCTGTAACATGCATTGTTTGATGAACTCACCGTCTTTGAACGGCTTTCCTGCTTTAGCGATCATCTCACTCACCACGTAGCTAGCTTTGAGAGCCGCTTCACTCTCTTTCTTGGCTTTCTTGAAAAAATCTTGTTGCCTCAGAAGACATGTTTTAAGTTTGGCGACCCGGTCCTCTCGCTCATCTCCCAGGTACTTTGCATACTCCTCGGCGTGTTTTGTTGAGTAATGACGTTTAATGTTATACTCCTTGTGCACCGCAACTTTTTCCGAGCATATTAGACACGTTGGAATGCCCCTGTGCTCAACAAAAAAATATCTGAGTGTGTCTGAGACCCCTGGTATATAGCTATACAATCTTTTGCATCACATCAGTTACATGTTTATTTTGTTCTCTGTTGACTTGCAATTTCTTTGTCAAATAATGAACAAAACAAATAAATACATTTATACTTATATGATCTTCGGATTATGGGGAAGAAAAAAGATGACTGGATGGGTTAATTTAGCTAAAAATAGAGATTTTATTAAGTATAGACTTGACCTACTGTTCTGTCACCTGTGATGCAACACTGACATTTCCCCACTGTGGGACCAACACAGGATCTCCTAATCTCCTAATCCCTTAATCTCTTAATATCTTAATCTTAATGGATCTGTGCATTAATTACTTTACAGTTATTAATGCAAACATTAATTAATTACAGTTTGATGCTACAGAGAGATGTCACCAAAGAATGAAGTTTGTTTTTCTCTTCCATTTTCAGGGAAACAGAAGCAAAAAGTGGTAAGTTCTTTTCTCCAAGTTTATAATGAATTTGGACATTTATTTTTACATTGTATTTGTCGCACATTCTTAGTGTTTTGGAAAACTCTTGACCCTTTAATGAAAAACAATACTATGAAGCGAATTGTTTTCACGTAACACTTGAACCCATACATTTATTCTTATTTGTATTCATTATTTATTTATTTAAAACCTGCACAACACACATTTTTACTTTAATAAAACACATAACAATTCTAGTTAATAATGGTCGTACATTCATAAATTTAGTCTTTTTGAATGACTTAAACTGATAGACTATCGCTGTAAACCATTGGAATGAACAAAGTAGGACAAATTACTTTTATTTAACTTTGATTCAACCTGGAAAGTTCCAAAGATATTGAAAAGTAAGTAAGGTTAAGTTGTATAGCGCCTTTCACAGCCCAGGATCACAGAACCCTTTAAAATTAAAATTATAGATACATCTCTTTCTTGTCTTGAGTGATCTAACATTTCAAAACTTCAAAACCTAACATTAATTTATACCCAGTTACTTTCCACCTGATTATTTACATTTTTCCCTTTTCTTCAGGCCATAAAGCAAATACAAATGCCTTTTAACATAATGTGGCGATGACTACTATTACTACTAAATTGCCACTTAAAGAAATTGAATAGAATATTTATTCATGTGTGTGTCGCCCCCTGCAGGCGGAGCACATTCCTCCATATGATGTGGTTCCCTCCATGAGGCCAGTGGTGCTGGTGGGACCCTCCCTCAAGGGTTATGAGGTAAGACAGATACACTTTATGGATCTCACAACGAAGACACTTACACATAAGCGAACTCAGGATGTAAACAAAAATGATAGCACCCAAAAACACTTAACTCGGTATTTACCACACAGACTCATACTCAGCCGTGTGGGTGAAGTGTCTTGCCTGAGGACACAACAACAGTTTGGCACTTTCCAGCCACAGTCGCAGCCGCCCCACTGTGGAACCTGGTGTTCTCTGAGGTCTCCCATCACAGTACTAACCAGGTCCTACCCTGCTTAGGCTCTGAGGTCTGCTAGGGATAGAGGGAAATGTTTACTGAATAAAAGTGGGGGTGTTTTTAGCTTCTTTCATGCTTAAGTCCCTGCTATCTCCCCAATACAAAACCAGCTGGAGACTGTTGTAGTTCATTAAAGCTGGGGTACCCAACTTTTAGTGTCATAATACACACTGATGATCCAATGGAAACAGTAAATGTTAAATGTTGTGAACAAATCCGACCATGACTCATGCTGTATGTATTTATCTTATTAGAAATGATGTCTTTTGCACATAAAAAAGATCCCTGTGAGTCACTATCTGACTCTTTGGGCTGAGCGCTGATTGGCCGAGTGATGGTGGTCCTCTCTTTTTCACTTATACATCTGAAATATCTGATCTGAAGAAGTGAGAGAGGCCAAAAAAATCATGAAAATACCTGAAACTAGTGATAAAACCTGTTTTGAGGAACTAGTCAAATATATTTTATTGCATAGATTCATTGTTTAAGCTTTTTTTAAATATTATTTTTATTATAATTGTGAAAGGTAGTTTACAGTATTCCTGCGTTCAGGCCATAGTCAGGATGTAGTCACACAAAAATTATAATGAAATAATACAAATAAAATAAAAACAGTGGCTGAGTGGATAGGACTCTCGCCTCTCAGCAAGAAGGTCCTGGGTTCGAATCTCAGTCGGAACAGGGCTTTTCTGAGTGGAGTTTGCATGTTCTCCCCGTGCGTGCGTAGGTTTCCTCTGGGTACTCCGGTTTCCCCTACCACTAATAACATGCGCAATAGGTAAAATCCTCCAGCTCTGGTCCTGACCAAGCCGAACATCAACATCTGGAGATGGGTTCCCGGGCGCTGTTACTACGGCGACCACTGCTCCTGACGCATGTAAGCCTTAGCGACATCAGGATGGGTCAAATGCAGAGGATGAATTGCCATACAGGGGATCAATAAAGTGCACCTTTACCTCTACGTTTATATACATACACAAAATTCTGTTTGTTTGTTGTTTAAGCTTTGAAAGTTAGGTGCCCCAGCTTTAAGTACAAGTTTTTAATGATTTCTATGTTTCTACTTTTACCAGAGTATTTGTACTTTTACTTCAGTACTGACACAGGTGGCAGTCAGACAATCAGAAAACCTCCACAGACCCTCTTTAAATGCACATGAACCCAGTCACTCATGCACTCAGAGAGAATACAGCGGGATGGGAGGGGGGGAGCGAGGCGGGGGATGTGGTCCGTCGCCATGGAAACCTCGCCTCTCCATCTCGCCGTTGCCTTGGTAACTGCCTTGAGGGTAAACTGCATCCTTATAAAAAAAAAAGAAACAAAAAAAAAGAAAGAGAGAGAAAGTAGACCCTAAATTAGAAATGGGAGAATGTTGCTCTATGCTGGGACTAAAATGACTCTGTGTTTATAGAGTGAAAGCACATAGAGCGATTGCGATGCATTAGTTACACACGCCGCTGTTTATCGATTCACTTCGGCTCGGAATCGATACCAGAGGGCTATAGAACTCCACGCAGCGAGGGGGAAAAGTGCGGTGGAGGAGGTGGAGGAGGTGGAGGAGGTGGGAGGAGGTGGGAGGAGGTGGGAGGAGGTGAGAGGAGGTGGGAGGAGGTGGGAGGAGGTGGGAGGAGGTGGGAGGAGGTGGGAGGAGGTGAGAGGAGGTGAGAGGAGGTGGGAGGAGGTGGGAGGAGGTGGGAGGAGGTGGAGGAGGTGGAGGAGGTGGAGGAGGTGGGAGGAGGTGGGAGGAGGAGGTGGGAGGAGGAGGTGGGAGGAGGTGGGAGGAGGTGAGAGGAAGTGGGAGGAGGTGGGAGGAGGTGGAGGAGGTGGGAGGAGGTGAGAGAGTTAATGGGATGATTTTTTAACCTGACGGAGGCTGCGTGTTTTACTCACGAGACGTAAGATCTGTGTCAGTGCTGTCATGATTACAGCAGAGAGAGAAGGAGAGAGGGAGAGAGAGAGAGGGAGAGAGGGAGAGAGAGGGAGGGAAGAGAGGGAGAGGGGGAGAGAGGGAGAGGGGGAGAGAGGGAGAGGGAGGGAGAGAGAGGGAGAGAGAGGGAGAGAGAGAGGGAGAGAGAGGGAGAGAGAGAGAGGGGGAGAGAGAGAGAGTGAGAGGGGGAGAGGGAGAGAGAGACCAGAGAGAGAGAGACCAGAGAAAGAGACCAGAGAGAGACCAGAGAGAAAGACTAGAGAGAGAGACCAGAGAGAGACGAGAGAGACTAGAGAAAGACCAGAGAGAGAGAAACCAGAGAGAGACCAGAGAGAGAGAAACCAGAGAGAGAGACCAGAGAGAGAGACCAGAGAGAGAGAGACCAGAGAGAGACCAGAGAGATACCAGAGAGATACCAGAGAGATACCAGAGAGAGACCAGAGAGAGAGAAGCCAGAGAGAAACCAGAGAGAGACCAGAGAGAGACCAGAGAGAGAGAAGCCAGAGAGAGACCAGAGAGAGACCAGAGAGAGACCAGAGAGATACCAGAGAGATACCAGAGAGATACCAGAGAGAGACCAGAGAGAGACCAGAGAGAGACCAGAGAGAGACGCGCTGTCACTGTACCAGCAGAATGAATGTTATTAATGAATGAAATCCAGTTCCCTGTTGTTCTGTGGTTGCAGGTGACTGACATGATGCAGAAAGCACTCTTCGATTTCCTTAAGCACAGGTTTGATGGAAGGTAAGATCTGTAAAATACTGCTTAGAATGATAAAAATGATCTGCCAAGAGAAGAAGATTTTTCTTAAAATATAGCATAACAAACTTATTTTATCTAAACAAGAAAAGTTGTCTAGAAATAGTAAAAAGTACTGAAAACAAGCTGAAAAACTCACTGCTCAGACTTTTTTCTCTAATATGATTATGAAGGATTATTATCTTAAAACTAGTAAAATAATCTTATTCGACAAACTACATTCAAGAAAAAAAAAAACTTACCATTGAAAAAATGAGCATAATTTGTGTTATTTTTAGGAAGATTTTACTTTTTAAAATTTTTTATTTGAAATCCGAAATTATAATCGACTGGATTTGAAATACTGCACAACATATGTTAAATAATTACCAAAATCATGTGGTTAATAATTCCATACTCAGAAAGTTTTTGTATGCATTTGTTTACAAAATTTCTGTATCCGTAATTTATCAATCCATCCATCCATTTTCTTCCGCTTTATCCGTTGCCGGGTCGCGGGGGCAGCAGTCTAAGCAGAGACGCCCAGACTTCCCTATCCACACACACCTCCTCCAGCTCGTCCAGGGGGACCCCAAGGCGTTCCCAGGCCAGCTGAGAGACATAGTCCCTCCAGCGTGTCCTGGGTCTTCCGCGGGGCCTCCTCCCGGTGGGACGTGCCCGGAACACCTCCACAGGGAGGCGTCCAGGAGGCATCCGGAACAGATGCCCGAGCCACCTCAACTGGTTCCTCTCGACGTGGAGTAGCAGCGGCTCTACTCCGAGCTCCTCCCGTGTGACTGAGCTCCTCACCCTATCTCTAAGGGAGCGCCCAGCCACTCTGCGGAGGAAGCTCATTTCGACCGCTTGTATCCGCGATCTCGTTCTTTCGGTCATTACCCAAAGCTCATGACGATAGGTGAGGGAGGGAACGAAGATTGACCGGTAAATCGAGAGCTTTGCCTTTCGGCTCAGCTCCCTCTTTACCACAACGGTCCGATACAGCGACCGCATCACTGCGCACGCTGCACCGATCCGCCTGTCAATCTCACGCTCCATTCTTCCCTCACTCGTGAACAAGACCCCGAGATACTTGAACTCCTCCACTTGAGGAAGGACCTCTCCACCCACCTGAAGAGGGCAGGGCACCTTTTTCCGGTCGAGCACCATGGATATTACCATATCCGTAATTTAACCAGGACTAAAGAAAAGGCTTGTAATGTAGTAAATAATTATATAAATACTCGAATACTGCTGAGGGTAAGTTACTGCATGTATGTGTTTGAAGTAGACCGTATAGAAATGGGAACCAGGCTTGTCCAAACTGCGGCCCACGGACCAATTGCGGCCCACTTTGTCACTCTCTATGGCCCTGTTAGCGGCAGAGCACTGAGGGGTCTCCAACCTGTAGCTTAGGAGCCACCAGTAGCTCCAGAGCCCCTTCCAGGTAGCTCCCAAAAGGATTTAGAAAAGAACTAATAAAAAAAACAATATTCTGGATGTTTCATGTATTATTCACCGGCTCACAACTATTGTAAATGCAAACTTACTTGTAGTTGTGGTAACAAATAAGCGATGAATAATTATTGTTGATTGAAATCTCGCTCTCACCAATGTTTATTTTCTAATGACCGCATTAAGGAGTAGCTCTCTTTTTCGTCTGTGGTTGAAAATGGTTGATTGACTTTCTCTTGCTTTCCTTGTATTTACCGACGTATTTATGTGCATTTGGTTCCAGGATATCCATCACCAGGGTAACCGCGGACATTTCTTTGGCCAAGAGGTCAGTACTGAACAACCCCAGTAAGAGAGCCATCATCGAGAGGTCCAACACCCGCTCCAGCCTCGGTAACCACACCCACTGATGAACGCCTGTTGCCATGGTTACATGCAAGAATTATATAGTATTTAAAAACCTGCCTCTGGCGGGTCAGGGCCAGACTTTGGTCCCCTTTCCACTACTTGCCCCTATTCTACTCTACTCTACTCTACTCTACCCTAGTCTACACTACTCTACTCTACTCTACTCCACTCTGCTCTACCCTATTCTACTCTACCCTACTCTACTCTACTCTACTCTACTCTACCCTATTCTATTCTATTCTATTCTACTCTACTCTACTCTGCTCTGCTCTGCTCTGCTCTACCCTACTCTTCTCTACTCTACTCTACTCTACTCTACTCTACTCTACTCTACTCTACTCTACTCTACTCTACTCTACTCTACTCTGCTCTGCTCTGCTCTGCTCTACTCTACTCTACTCTACTCTACTCTACTCTACTCTACTCTGCTCTGCTCTGCTCTGCTCTACCCTACCCTACCCTACTCTACTCTGCTCTACTCTACTTTACTCTACTCTGCTCTACTCTGCTCTACTCTGCTCTGCTCTGCTCTACTCTACTCTACTCTACTCTGCTCTACCCTATTCTACACTACTCTACTCTGCTCTGCTCTGCTCTACTCTACTCTACTCTACTCTACTCTACCCTATTCTACTCTACTCTACTCTACTCTACTCTACTCTGCTCTACCCTATTCTACTCTACTCTACTCTACTCTACTGTACTTTACTCTACACTACTCTCTACTCTACTCTACTCTACTCTACTGTACTTTACTCTACACTACTCTCTACTCTACTCTACTCTACTCTACCTTACTCTACTTTACACTACACTACCACTATTGGGAGTGTTTCCATTGGTCCTCTTTAACCAGTACCAGGTCCTTTAGTCCCTCTTGGTCCTGGTTCTATCCAGGCCGAGCTGGTACTAAAAGTGTTGTAAACTGAGTAGAGCAGAGCAGAGCAGAGTACGTTCTCCCTGTGTCTGAGATTTCCAGATTTTCCCCTAAAACTTGGTTGCTGAGTTCCGCTCTGAGCCAAAGATCATTTATTTTAGATCTCTGCTTGTGATTAATCTCAAATCTCATGTTGACTTCCCAACCGTCTCGGCTCTTTCCTTCTGCTCAAACTCTAACGTTCTCCTTCTTCTTTTGAACATGTGAAATCCCAGCCGAGGTGCAGAGTGAGATTGAGCGTATTTTCGAGTTGGCGCGGTCGCTGCAGCTGGTGGTTCTGGACGCAGACACGATAAACCATCCGGCTCAGCTCATCAAGACCTCGTTAGCTCCCATCATCGTCCACGTCAAAGTGTCCTCACCCAAGGTACCGGCTCCAGACCCCAGTACTGGCTCTAGACCCCGGTACCGGCTCTAGACCACAGTACCGGCTCCATTTCCCGGTCCGCCTCCCGCCTCCACCTGCTCATCTCCAACTCATTCTGTTAAAGCAGATTGATGCAACGTGGATAAAATATGAGGGAATCATTGCCGTAATCGAGTGTTTTTTTTCTTAATCTGAGCTCATTCTGACTTTGATAAAACAAGATTTGCCAAAAGGAAGAAAGGCATTTAAGTTTTGATTCAAGAACTGTGGCTTTTTCTCATTCAGAGAGAGAGCAGAGAGAGATAGACCGGAGAGAGACGAGAGAGAGACTGGGGAGAGACCAGAGAGAGAGAGCGGAGAGAGGGACCGGAGAGAAAGACCGGAGAGAGACCAGAGAGACTGGGGAGAGACCAGAGAGAGAGCGGAGATAGACCAGAGAGAGACAGGGGAGAGACCAGAGAGAGAGAGCGGAGAGAGGGACCGGAGAGAAAGACCGGAGAGAGACCAGAGAGAGCGGAGAGAGGGACCGGAGAGAAAGACCGGAGAGAGACCAGAGAGACTGGGGAGAGACCAGAGAGAGAGCGGAGAGAGACCAGAGAGAGACTGGGGAGAGACCAGAGAGAGAGAGCGGAGAGAGGGACCGGAGAGAAAGACCGGAGAGAGACCAGAGAGAGCGGAGAGAGAGAGCGGAGAGAGAGACCGGAGAGAAAGACCGGAGAGAGAGACCAGAGAGAGAGACCAGAGAGAGAGATAGTTTTGCTTTGTCCCATTGGCAAATCTTGTTCTAAGAATGTTCTCAAAATAAAATATTTTTTTCCTAAATTGAGGAGACACTTGTGTGATAGATATATAGACACATACATAAATACATATTGGTCATATACGTGTGTGCGCGTGTGTAGACATCCCTTATTTGTCCCAAGGTGGGGAAATTTCAGTGTTGCATTACAAATACATTATTATTATACTAACAAAACCATACTAACTGTAACTATACTAAACTATACTCATAAAACTCTATACTAATAACACCTCTAACTTTAGCATAACAAAAGAAACAAGCATAAAATCTCTACCTTTATATTAGTTGTATGTTTACATCTGTACATGTTTGCAGAGACACAGGGACAGTGGACACATGTATGTTCTATGTTCTATATTGCACAATGTGTGGCACAGACACACACCATGTGAGGTCAGGTCTGCAGCATTAGCGCAGACACACACCATGTGAGGTCAGGTCTGCAGCATTAGCACAGACACACACCATGTGAGGTCAGGTCTGCAGCATTAGCGCAGACACACACCATGTGAGGTCAGGTCTGCAGCATTAGCACAGACACACACCATGTGAGGTCAGGTCTGCAGCATTAGCACAGACACACACCATGTGAGGTCAGGTCTGCAGCATTAGCACAGACACACACCATGTGAGGTCAGGTCTGCAGCATTAGCACAGACACACACCATGTGAGGTCAGGTCTGCAGCATTAGCACAGACACACACCATGTGAGGTCAGGTCTGCAGCATTAGCACAGACACACACCATGTGAGGTCAGGTCTGCAGCATTAGCACAGACACACACCATGTGAGGTCAGGTCTGCAGCATTAGCACAGACACACACCATGTGAGGTCAGGTCTGCAGCATTAGTCCATATTGGTATTTATTGTGTTTTATCTTTTTGTGAGTGCTCCTGGATTCCTGATGGTCTGTAATGTACGAGGCATCACTGTTCGTTAAAGCTGCACTAACTGACTTTGGGATTTTGAAGCCGCAGACTCGCTGGCCTCTCTCTTTCTGCTCCCCTCCCCGCACCCACGAAGCTATCACCCCCCACACACACCCACTGTTGTTGACGGAGTTAGCGTCTCCCAATATGGATAATACACGAATATGGATTTGCACGTGGATGGCGTGACCATAGAACGATAGAACCGGGAAGAGCGGAGGAACGAGACTTTCTTTTGGATGGCTGTCTCGCTGTGTAAGCAGTAACCAGTGACGAAGACACACAAAGTTTCAGGTTAGCTCCTCGGCTTGTTGTGCTAACTCAGCCGTCTATGCTAACGGACCTGTAGATTTCTCACGAAAGTGGGGGCCAGTGGTGCGCTGCGATTGGTCACAATCCGCGACCCGAAACACATTCTCTTCCTTGTTTCATCAAAACTCGATCTAAAATATAATGTCACGCCAGTACAAATCTGCGCTACTTTTTCTTCAAAATGATGTATATCCCAATGCACTACATGGACATGGATAGCATTTTTGTAATGAATACAAAAATAAAGTCAGTTAGTGCAGCTTTAAGGCCCCTCTCCGTCCGCCTGGTGAACCATGTGTCGTTAACCAGTGTGACCAAAAACCAGTGTTGTGCTTCTCTGCAGGTGCTTCAGCGTCTGATCAAGTCCAGAGGGAAGTCTCAGAGCAAACACCTGAACGTGCAGCTCGTCGCGGCCGAAAAGCTCTCACAATGTCCCTCTGTGAGTCCTCCTCCAACTCCTCCACTGCTTATGACGCCAAACGATTCACTTCTACTCAGTTTAAGTTTTGAAAATAGTTTTGTACCGCCCTAAATGCTAATAATAATAATAATGTGCATGATGGAAAAATAGGGAAGATATACTAACAAAATTCAGGTGTCCAGCAGCAGCAAAAATAAGAAATAAAATTGATCATTGAAAACAGCTAACAATAGTAAGAATCAGTATAGCACATTTCATGAACACAGTTTCCAAAGTGCTGCTCAATAAAAGACTAATTAAAACAAATTCATCCATCCATCCACTTTCTTCCGCTTCATCCGTTGCCGGGTCACGGGGGCAGCAGTCTAAGCACAAAACATTCACTAATTAAAACAACTCACATAGGTGCATGCATATAAACATAACAGTAAACTAAACAAAATGAAATACATTTAAAGGACCCTGCAATGGTCCTAAATCACAGCTGTTATTTTGTAGGACTTTAGAAAGTTGTCGATTTCTCAACAACTGATCAGAGAATAAAACACATTGGTCCATATAGGGAGCAGGACGGCCACACATGTCCTGAGTCCTCACTTCATCGGCAATAGCCTGGTCTTACCACACCATCGTACTTATTTCATTTGGTACTAAGGTCTGGGTTTGCTCCATTGACTCCGTGAACAGGTGGGAGGGGTTAACTCCTTTTGCAGATTGAAACGATTGGATCTGAGTTTACTGTGACGTAATGAGCCCGAGTGAATGAGGCATTTAGCATTTAGCATAGCTTTAGCCTTTAGCCTAGCTTTAGCCATCTCCTTTGCCACTAACTGGAGCCTGTGGGGAGTAGAGAGTAGAAGGAAGAGTCCAGACTCTTTTATTTGTTTTGTTTTTTTCAGTTTGACTCTAAATTGACCACTTGTACAAACGCTGACATGACCCGTTTTCCACTTTTCACCAAGTTCAAATCTCTTCTTCTGATCTCTCTCCTCTTGTCTCAGGAAATGTTTGACATAATCCTGGATGAGAACCAGTTGGAGGATGCGTGTGAGCACCTGGCCGAGTACCTGGAGGCGTACTGGAGGGCCACGCACACGTCTCTGAGCACACCGCTCAACCCACTGCTGGGACGCAACCTGGGCTCCACTGCACTCGCCCCATATCCGGCAGCCAATCAGGTGAGGCAGCCAATCAGGTGAGGCAGCCAATCAGGAGAGGCAGCCAGTCACGTGAGGCAGCCAATCAGGAGAGGCAGTCAGTCAGGTGAGGCAGCCAATCAGGTGAGGCAGCCAATCAAGTGAGGCAGCCAGTCAGGTGAGGCAGCCAATCAGGAGAGGCAGTCAGTCAGGTGAGGCAGCCAATCAGGTGAGGCAGCCAATCAGGTGAGGCAGCCAGTCAGGTGAGGCAGCCAATCAGGAGAGGCAGCCAGTCAGGTGAGGCAGCCAATCAGGAGAGGCAGTCAGTCAGGTGAGGCAGCCAATCAGGTGAGGCAGCCAGTCAGGTGAGGCAGCCAATCAGGAGAGGCAGCCAATCAGGAGAGGCAGCCAGTCAGGAGAGGCGGCCAATCAGGAGAGGCGGCCAATCAGGAGAGGCAGCCAGTCAGGTGAGGCAGCCAGTCAGGAGAGGCAGCCAGTCAGGTGAGGCAGCCAATCAGGTGAGGCAGCCAGTCAGGTGAGGCAGCCAGTCAGGTGAGGCAGCCAGTCAGGAGAGGCAGTCAATCAGGAGAGGCAGCCAATCAGGAGAGGCAGCCAGTCAGGTGAGGTAGCCAGTCAGGAGAGGCAGCAAATCAGGAGAGGCAGCCAATCAGGAGAGGCAGCCAATCAGGAGAGGCAGCCAATCAGGAGAGGCAGCCAATCAGGAGAGGCAGCCAGTCAGGAGAGGCAGCCAATCAGGAGAGGCAGCCAATCAGGAGAGGCAGCCAGTCAGGAGAGGCAGCCAGTCAGGAGAGGCAGCCAATCAGGAGAGGCAGCCAGTCACGTGAGGCAGCCAATCAGGAGAGGCAGTCAGTCAGGTGAGGCAGCCAATCAGGTGAGGCAGCCAATCAGGTGAGGCAGCCAGTCAGGTGAGGCAGCCAGTCAGGAGAGGCAGTCAATCAGGAGAGGCAGCCAATCAGGAGAGGCAGCCAGTCAGGTGAGGCAGCCAGTCAGGAGAGGCAGCCAATCAGGAGAGGCAGCCAGTCAGGAGAGGCAGCCAATCAGGAGAGGCAGCCAATCAGGAGAGGCAGCCAGTCAGGAGAGGCAGCCAGTCAGGAGAGGCGGCCAGTCAGGAGAGGCGGCCAGTCAGGAGAGGCGGCCAATCAGGAGAGGCGGCCAGTCAGGAGAGGCAGCCAATCAGGAGAGGCAGCCAGTCACGTGAGGCAGCCAATCAGGAGAGGCAGTCAGTCAGGTGAGGCAGCCAATCAGGTGAGGCAGCCAGTCAGGAGAGGCAGCCAGTCAGGAGAGGCAGCCAGTCAGGAGAGGCAGCCAGTCAGGTGAGGCAGCCAATCAGGAGAGGCAGCCAGTCAGGAGAGGCAGCCAGTCAGGAGAGACAGCCAGTCAGGTGAGGGCAGCCAATCAGGAGAGGCAGCCAGTCAGGTGAGGCAGCCAATCAGGAGAGGCAGTCAGTCAGGTGAGGCAGCCAATCAGGTGAGGCAGCCAGTCAGGTGAGGCAGCCAATCAGGAGAGGCAGCCAATCAGGAGAGGCAGCCAGTCAGGAGAGGCGGCCAATCAGGAGAGGCAGCCAGTCAGGTGAGGCAGCCAGTCAGGAGAGGCAGCCAGTCAGGTGAGGCAGCCAATCAGGTGAGGCAGCCAGTCAGGTGAGGCAGCCAGTCAGGTGAGGCAGCCAGTCAGGAGAGGCAGTCAATCAGGAGAGGCAGCCAATCAGGAGAGGCAGCCAGTCAGGTGAGGCAGCCAGTCAGGAGAGGCAGCCAATCAGGAGAGGCAGCCAATCAGGAGAGGCAGCCAGTCAGGAGAGGCAGCCAATCAGGAGAGGCAGCCAATCAGGAGAGGCAGCCAGTCAGGAGAGGCAGCCAGTCAGGAGAGACAGCCAGTCAGGAGAGGCAGCCAATCAGGAGAAGCAGCCAGTCACGTGAGGCAGCCAATCAGGAGAGGCAGTCAGTCAGGTGAGGCAGCCAATCAGGTGAGGCAGCCAATCAGGTGAGGCAGCCAGTCAGGTGAGGCAGCCAATCAGGAGAGGCAGCCAATCAGGAGAGGCAGCCAGTCAGGAGAGGCGGCCAATCAGGAGAGGCGGCCAATCAGGAGAGGCAGCCAGTCAGGTGAGGTAGCCAGTCAGGAGAGGCAGCAAATCAGGAGAGGCAGCCAATCAGGAGAGGCAGCCAATCAGGAGAGGCAGCCAATCAGGAGAGGCAGCCAGTCAGGAGAGGCAGCCAATCAGGAGAGGCAGCCAATCAGGAGAGGCAGCCAGTCAGGAGAGGCAGCCAGTCAGGAGAGGCAGCCAATCAGGAGAGGCAGCCAGTCACGTGAGGCAGCCAATCAGGAGAGGCAGTCAGTCAGGTGAGGCAGCCAATCAGGTGAGGCAGCCAATCAGGTGAGGCAGCCAGTCAGGTGAGGCAGCCAGTCAGGAGAGGCAGTCAATCAGGAGAGGCAGCCAATCAGGAGAGGCAGCCAGTCAGGTGAGGCAGCCAGTCAGGAGAGGCAGCCAATCAGGAGAGGCAGCCAGTCAGGAGAGGCAGCCAATCAGGAGAGGCAGCCAATCAGGAGAGGCAGCCAGTCAGGAGAGGCAGCCAGTCAGGAGAGGCGGCCAGTCAGGAGAGGCGGCCAGTCAGGAGAGGCGGCCAATCAGGAGAGGCGGCCAGTCAGGAGAGGCGGCCAGTCAGGAGAGGCGGCCAATCGGGAGAGGCAGCCAATCAGGAGAGGCAGCCAATCAGGAGAGGCAGCCAGTCAGGAGAGGCAGCCAGTCAGGAGAGGCAGCCAGTCAGGAGAGGCAGCCAGTCAGGAGAGGCAGCCAGTCAGGTGAGGCAGCCAATCAGGAGAGGCAGCCAGTCAGGAGAGGTAGCCAGTCAGGAGAGACAGCCAGTCAGGTGAGGCAGCCAATCAGGAGAGGCAGCCAGTCAGGTGAGGCAGCCAATCAGGAGAGGCAGTCAGTCAGGTGAGGCAGCCAATCAGGTGAGGCAGCCAGTCAGGTGAGGCAGCCAATCAGGAGAGGCAGCCAATCAGGAGAGGCAGCCAGTCAGGAGAGGCGGCCAATCAGGAGAGGCAGCCAGTCAGGTGAGGCAGCCAGTCAGGAGAGGCAGCCAGTCAGGTGAGGCAGCCAATCAGGTGAGGCAGCCAGTCAGGTGAGGCAGCCAGTCAGGTGAGGCAGCCAGTCAGGAGAGGCAGTCAATCAGGAGAGGCAGCCAATCAGGAGAGGCAGCCAGTCAGGTGAGGCAGCCAGTCAGGAGAGGCAGCCAATCAGGAGAGGCAGCCAATCAGGAGAGGCAGCCAGTCAGGAGAGGCAGCCAATCAGGAGAGGCAGCCACTCAGGAGAGGCAGCCAGTCAGGAGAGACAGCCAGTCAGGAGAGGCAGCCAATCAGGAGAGGCAGCCAGTCACGTGAGGCAGCCAATCAGGAGAGGCAGTCAGTCAGGTGAGGCAGCCAATCAGGTGAGGCAGCCAGTCAGGTGAGGCAGCCAGTCAGGAGAGGCAGCCAGTCAGGAGAGGCAGTCAATCAGGAGAGGCAGCCAATCAGGAGAGGCAGCCAGTCAGGTGAGGCAGCCAGTCAGGAGAGGCAGCCAATCAGGAGAGGCAGCCAGTCAGGAGAGGCAGCCAGTCAGGAGAGGCAGCCAGTCAGGAGAGACAGCCAGTCAGGTGAGGCAGCCAATCAGGAGAGGCAGCCAGTCAGGTGAGGCAGCCAATCAGGAGAGGCAGCCAGTCAGGGGAGGCAGCCAATCAGGAGAGGCAGCCAATCAGGAGAGGCAGCCAGTCAGGTGAGGCAGCCAGTCAGAAGAGGCAGCCAGTCAGGAGAGGCAGCCAGTCAGGAGAGGCAGCCAGTCAGGAGAGGCAGCCAATCAGGAGAGGCAGCCAATCAGGAGAGGCGGCCAATCAGGAGAGGCAGCCAATCAGGAGAGGCAGCCAGTCAGGAGAGGCAGCCAGTCAGGTGAGGCAGCCAATCAGGAGAGGCAGCCAATCAGAAGAGGCAGCCAGTCAGGTGAGGCAGCCAATCAGGAGAGGCAGCCAATCAGGAGAGGCGGCCAATCAGGAGAGGCAGCCAATCAGGAGAGGCGGCCAATCAGGAGAGGCGGCCAATCAGGTGGTGGACTATGCAAGTTGTATCTACAGTCGGTGGTAAATATGAACTGGTGCCTGCACTTTTGCCTTCTGTGGGCTTGTTAAGCTGCACGAGCCACATTCATTTAACGAGCGCATTCTGAAGTCCACAGCGACTAAACTAGACTCAGCATTGGCAGCATCTTGTTGGTGAAAACGCAAACGTTGAGAACCAGCCGACTATGACCTCAGCACTTCCCTGCACATACAGAAGATAAGATCAGATAAACTTTATTGATCGTGTCACATTTGGCACAGATAGAATCACTCAGATTGTGCAAAAGACAAAAGTGAAACATGTTAGGGTTAAAGATACAGTCTGTGCAGGATATAATTATGTGCAATCAAAAAAGGCAACAGCAGTGCAGGGTTTTTCAGTCCTAGTACAGGTCATTAGTGACTTATTGTACAGTCTGACAGCAGTGGGGATAAAGGCCCTGCTCCTTCTTGCACCTCCGCACCTCCTCCTCAGTCCTGTGGGAGGTGTTGTCCATGATGGAGGTGACTTTGACCAGCCCCTCCTCTCCCTCACCTCCTCCACAGAGTCCAGGGGCCTCCTCCTTTGGACAGGCGCAGTAGCTGAGAGCAAACGTAAACAACAATGGCAGCGGGTCCACTGCTTCAAGCGCTACACGGAGGAGAATTCTACTCCGTTCGTCCAAATGAAATTAACCTGTCGTTTCAGTTTCCATTTCCACTGCTGCTGTTAAATGTTAAATGTTGGTTCTTTTTATTACTGTTATTACATATTTTATTTTATTGTATATTTTGATATATACATCACATGCACGTTGGAAAACTCTGGTTGTGCCTTTTCACCAACATTAAAAGGTTTTTCCAGAGATCCCAGTCCTCTGCATCTTCTGTCATTTTATTCACTTCTTTTTTTTTCCCCTCAGGGCCAAAGGAACCGAAACAGCAACCACACCACGTCAGACCACTCCCCGGTCGAGCGCCGCAGCCTGATGCCCGCGGACGAGAACTACCACAACGAACGCACGCGCAAGAACCGCAACCGCCTCTCCTCGGGCTCCCAACCCAGCCGCGAGCACTCCCCGCTGGTGGAGGAGGACTTCCAAGACCCCTACCAGGACTCCTATAAGCCCCACCGCACCAGGGAGTCTCCGGGCGGGTACAGCCAGGAAGCACGGCACCGGGTTTGAGCTGGAGCGGACGGGAAAAAGGACCGAAAGCTCCTAAACCGACGCCTATTTGGACCAATTTAAAGTGTGTAGGATCGACGTTTCCTGCCACATGTATAGCTCTTGTTGTGTATGACCAATGGTGGTGGGAAGAGTAGCACAAGAGTGTGTTCTGCAGGCTTTTTAGAGGCCGAATCTATGGGGCCTGTACACGATTTTCACTGTTTTAGCAAGAGATTAAGTCATTTTTAACCATTTTTCTATCTATATCTGTGGCCATGAACCTTTTCCGCTCAGGAGTTTGGTTGGCTGCAGGAAGAAGTTTCGATCACACACTCATTCATCCACATTCACACCTCTATAGACCCCTCAGGCAAACAGGGCGGGGTCATGGCCCTGGCTTATCCGTTTTTAGGAGTCAAAAAAAGATTCACACTTTCTCACACATTCCTTATAGCTTATTAGTTATTTACATCCACTAAAAAGTGCTTTATACAACAGTTTGCAGTCACAGTGACCTTACAAGAAAAAAACACATACTTCCTCATTCCTAAAATGCAGTGGTGGGAAGAGTAGTTTGCAAATACAGAAATATGGAACAGCTGCTCTTAGAAAAATAGTGTTATTATATTCTGAATACAAAAGAGTGATCCATTGCAGAGAACAGTCATTTCAAATCTGCAAAGGAGATGGTTTGAGCCGTAGTGGCTAGTCAGCTTTGGTATTTTGCTTTGATTTGGTTTGTTGACGATGAAAATATTTAGGTTGTTTAGGATCTTGACTTTTAGATGCACACATGGACCTACAAAAACAACAAAAGCAGTGATAAAACAGATTCCATAAAAGGCTAGACATGACTGAAATAAGTGAATATCTTTCTATATTTGAATTTAGCCAAAAATACCTCCTTGTCCTTCTTTCTTGTACTTTAACTTGGACCCTTTATGAGACGGTAACTCTAGCTAGCTTAAAATATACCTTATTGCCCCCATTGTGAATCTTGTCCTCTGCATTTGACCCATCCTGTTATACAAACAGGACCAGTGTCAGGAGCAGAGGTCTCCGTAGTACAGCGTCTGACCCATCTCCAGAGGATATAATAATAATAATAATAGATATAGAATAATAATAATCATTCATCAATGTTATATCGGGCTCAAAGACGCTTTAGGGAAACGCTGGGATGCAAGGGCCTTCATGCTGAGAGACGAGAGTGCTGTTCACCCATCTGTGGATAAATACAGCAACTTTGGCTTTTAGGCTTTTAGTTCAGTTTCCGTTTTTTGTTTCAGGCAGAAGAAAATCAGAACAAGCCTTTTATGTGAACATTTGCGTCACAACAAAGACACCAACCCACAGATGTTTGCTATAGTCCGTACAATACAGACCTGACATCCTCTTAAAGGTACACTGTGTAGTTTTACTTCATGTACTGTAGTCTACGGTACTACGTTAGCATCGCAGGACAATATATGATCTTTGACAGTGGTCCCCAACTCCCGCTCAAACTCCTTTTTGTCCCTTATCAGCCACTGCATTTCAAGATGGCATCCACACGTAGAGTCCTCAGCCTCATGGACATTTATAACTCACATTCTAAGCCCATAACAACAATTCAAAAACATGGTGGAGGTAAATATTCTTAAAAAGGTCACATTTGTGATTGGTGAACATGTTAAAAATTACACAGAGCACCTTTAAAAGTCTTAAATATTATGTCTTATCATGTCGTCCATTTGTTGAAGTTAAATTGGATGCCACAGAGATGAATACTAATAAGAAGGAAGGATAAGCACGGAGGTATATTTGCTGAATTCTGTAATTTCTCCAAAAAAAATGCAGATAAGGGATAAACAACTACACTGCAAAAAATGATCAAATATGAGACCATAATTGCTAGAATCGAGTTTTTTTAACTTGACTTAAGTCCATTCTGACTGTCTTAAAATGAGATTTGCCAATGAGACAAGCAATTTTGACTTGATTCAAGAACTATTGCTTTATTTTCTCATTCCAACAGAAAAATATCTTGTATCTTTTTAAAACAAGACTTGTTTTTTCTTGTTCCACTGGCAAATCTTGTTTTAAGGCAGTCAAAATGTGCTCATATTTAGATACATTTAGCCAAATTTGAGCATTTTTTTTGTCTTTAATTCTGTCATCTTTTGCAGTGTATTTTTAACATCTCATTTAAAAACAAAGCAAAACATAAAGTAATGACGTATGAGCTTTGGTCCGGCCCCATGGGAGGAGTCTGCTCTTCAAACACACTAAGTCCTTTCAACCTATTGTTTATATCTGACACATCCCTTCCCTGGAACCACCGCCTGAATGTGCCTTTTGTTGTGACTTAAGGTTTGGTAGTTTCAAATAACATCCGACACTGATTTAAGAAGGAAGTGTTGTACATCAGAATCTAAATCATTTTTACTGCCGTGAAAGTATCAGGAAGTCACAAGAAAATTGGGTTGGCTCTCGGTGAAAACAAGTCAAAAGTAGAGACGTGGAGAACAGAGTTAGTAACATACATTTCTCAATTATAAGATTTCGGATTATTGCGATTACTACTACTGTATATACAAGTACATGATCTCACACTGCACTGTTGTCTTTCTGTTGAACTAGACGCAAACTTTCTATTATTGTGATTTGGCAAACGCAACTGGATTCTGAATACCAGCAAATGACACATACAGTACACTGCAAAATAATATACATAATGAGGTAATATTCTGACATTCTGACTGTGTTAAAAGTCTAATTTCAAGAACTGTAGCTTTATTTTCTCATTCCAAGGGAGACAAGAACAAGAACATTTTGCTTTGTCCCGTTGACAAATCTTGTTTTAATGCAGTCAGAATGTGCTCAAATTAAAGGTGCAGTTAGCGATGTTAGCTTAGCCGTAGCACCAACTGGAAACCACTCCCCCTCCCCTCCCTCTCCACCAAACCAAACATCCAGAATTTTCTTTTCTTTGTCACAACAGGGAGAGTGAAGCAAACGTGAAATTGGCATTTTCTGTTCAGCCCTTTTAGGTTTTAGAAAATCCGATAACTCCGGTGCACTCGCGAGAAACAGGAAGAGGGTGAAGGCGGTAAACACATCCCATTGGTTCGTTGGGGATGAACTAATCCCATTGGTTAATTTTTATCGGTCTGCTCCAAAATATGTTTTTATTAATTTTTTTTATTGACTATAGGCATTTGGTCAATTCCATTACTATTTGAAAACACATTATAACTTGATACTTTACGGACGTTTTCCCGCGATATTTAAACAAAAAAATGCATCTGGAAAATATCACTGACTGCATCTTTAATATACATTTTGCCAAACTTGAGCATTTGTTGACTTATTTGTCGTTCACTTTTTTACAGTGCGATCTCTTTACAACACCAACAGCTGCTTTCACAACACATCTACAAAATCAAACTCAAGACAAAACGGAGAAACAACAAAATCGTGCACAGGCTCTTTTACTGTGTGATGTCACTGTAGCATGCAGGCGATCGCTGTGGAGCCGTGAATGTGGCGAGACTCTGGCCAAAAAAGCAACTAATAAAGGAAACGACCATCTCAGCAGCAGTTTGCACGCAACCAGGAGCTGTGGGAACAAAAGCCTCCGCAAGTTTGTTTGTCTTTCAATATGAGAGAGGGAAAAAAAATCCACTGATGCCTGCGCTTGAGAGTTTGCATTGATTTTGATTGGTGTCTTTCTGCCCCAGTCGTGGAGCCGTTTTGATGATGGGTTTTTAGCCTGACCAGCCCCCTTCTCTTCTTCTACACGTTTCTGTCCGAGCACATTTATTGTTGTTATTAGTAAACTATTTCCCACAATTATGAAACTACTAAAACTCACAGACCAAAGGGATTCTGAGAAATTACTCCAAAAATTTTTAGTTTTTGGACAGATCCGTTAAAAGTTAAATCATTTATAACGTTTTTTTGTACCTTTACTCACTTTTGGCATTCTAAGAAATTGCTCCAAAATGTTTTCGGTTTTTTGACAGATACGTTCAAAGTAGGTTTTTTTGTACCTTTACTCACTTTTGCTAAGTGCTAAAACTGGTGAATTTAACTTTAAAGACAGCAAACAGGAGTTGGTTGAGAAGCTACCAAATGCTAACTGTTAGCATGTAAACATTATGTTGCTATGGTAACTGGTGCTGGCTCTTCTCTAGGAGGTGAAGGTAGAACTGATTTCATTTCCAAAGTAAAAGAAAAGTCATGACAAAAGAACATAGAAATAGACTAAATATTGAGACAGAAAAAGTCACAAATTTATATACATAGATAATTTTACTTAATTAATTTTTTTTTTGAATATATTTATCCTCTGTACAATGAATGGGCTTTAGTTTGAATTTATCCCATTTTAAAATAATATTTTTTCTATGTTAAATCAAGTGTCGCTCAATTCAACTACTCTTGTATTGGCCAGTCGTATCAGAGACATTTTATAAACTTGTTAATTCACCAGCACATATCAGAGAATCAAATAGTCTGAACACAAGAAACACAATAATAAATGTGTCTCTGGTCCGTAAGGGGCGGGATGAAAACTGTCCATAAATGTTAAGAAACGTCCATAAATTTACATTTAGGGACCTAAATGTCCCCAAGTGAGAAAACTCGAGGACGCTCACATTGAGAAGGAGACGAATAGACTGTAAATCCAGGACTGAGGCTGTAGATCCAGGACTGAGATCCAGGACTGAGGCTGTAGATCCAGGACTGAGGCTGTAGATCCAGGACTGAGGCTGTAGATCCAGGACTGAGATCCAGGACTGAGGCTGTAGATCCAGGACTGAGGCTGTAGATCCAGGACTGAGACTATAGATCCAGGACTGAGGCTGTAGATCCAGGACTGAGACTATAGATCCAGGACTGAGGCTGTAGAACGAGGACTGAGGCTGTAGACCCAGGACTGAGGCTGTAGATCCAGGACTGAGGCTGTAGATCCAGGACTGAGGCTGTAGACCCAGGACTGAGGCTGTAGATCCAGGACTGAGGCTGTAGCG